GGATGAAGCTCAGCCTACCATCCCTGTCACACAAGGGCTTCTGCTGCAGGGAAGAGCCCGCACAGAGGCTGCTTCTCCACCCACCTCTCCTCCTCCAGTTCCCTCCTGGGCATCACCTGACCCCACCAAATGTAGACCAGGGCTTGTACCGGTGTTGGGATTATAAATACAGACAAGCCTGGGCAGTAATGAGAGACCAGCTCCCTCTTTGAAACAAGCAGGTGTTGACAGCTGTCTTCCTAGTGCTGCCACCAAGCCTAGAATGACCCAGGTGGCACCTCCAGAATGACCCAGCTCACATCTCACTACCAGCACAGAGTTATCACTGAAATCAGGAATAAACGTCTAAACACCAACGTAGCCTGAAGAAGCAGACATGTACTGGGCACTGCTGAGGCTGCAGCTGGAGTGCTGGGTTCAGTGTTGGGCCCCTGAGTCCAAGAAGGACATGGAGGTGCTGGAGCGTGTCCAGAGAAGGGCAACGGAGCTGGGGAAGGGTCTGGAGCACAAGTGTGCTGAGTTCCCTTGTGGCTGAGGGAACTGGGGGTGTTGAGCCTGGAGAAAAGGAGGCTGAGGGGAGACCTTGTGGCTCTGTGCAAGTCCCTTGGAGGAGGGTGGAGAGAGGTGGGGGGGGGTCTGTTCAACCAAGGAGCAAGGGCCAGGACAAGAGGAAATGGGCTCCAGTTGTGGCCAGGGCAGTTGAGATGGGATGTGAGGAAGAATTTCTTTGCTGCAAGGGTTCTGAGGCATTGGAAGGGGTTGCCCAGGGCAGTGGTGGAGTCCCCATCCCTGGAGGGATTGAAGAGAGGTGTAGACATAGTGCTGAGGTACATGGGTTAGTCATAGGGGACTTGTCAGTGTTGGGTTCATGATTCAACTTCATGATCTTAAAGGGCTTCTCCAATCCAGGCATTTCTGGGATTCTTTATTCAGCGCTGGGTACAAGGGGTACATCATCACAAAACTAGCACGCTGAGTTAGCAAAACTTCACTCATTTATACAGAACTGATGAGTTTGTCCCACCCTCTATCCATCTGCATCACTATTCTACTTTAGGATGGGCTCAAACTCCTCTTGCTTCTCTTTTAAAGAGTACAGTACTCCAAAAACTCACAGCCCATGCTCTCATACAGGGGGTGTAGCCTGTTCAGTCTCTAATTGAGTCCATGGTCACGATGTCTCCCAGTCACTTTTACCTTTCCCCCCCAATTTCTGCAGATTCTTGCTGACTTCATCCTTCTCAGGCAATTATTCAGCTTTTGGTGCCTTCTAGGGCAGGATGTTCTCCTTTTCTCAGTCTTTTAGCTCCTCTTTGAGGAGATAGTCATTAATAAAGTCTGCAGAGTTTATATAAAGTCACTGGACTTGCACAGGCTGAAGACAATGGGCCCCTTGGTACTTGAGGCTAAACTGCAGATGTCTTGTGACAACTAAAAACAAGAATTTACATATTTTCTAACAGAGCCTGACCCTGGTCCGCTGCCAGCAGGACCACAGGCAGCAGTTGTGCTCACACAACATCCCTTGTTCCTTCCGTGGCCTTCCAGCACAGCCCCTCTCCCTTGGGGTTGTCTGTTTGTCCCCCAGCTATGCAGTACCTTACCCAAATTCCATGTTGCCACTGTCTCCTTGCCCTGGTGTCCACGTGCGAGAGGTGAGGAACAGTTATCTCACACTCCCTTGAACCCAGCAAAGTTTTAACTCATCAAGAAACCGTTGCCAGATAACCAAGCCAACGGAGGGAGTTGCTGGCAACCTCTCAAAACACTCAGAAACGCCTCTAAGGTACTGATTAACTTCACCTCAGCTTGCCTTTGGACCCACTCCCTTCCACCTTAAGGGTGCTGCAAGGTTTGGATGGCAAATTCATCCTGCTGCAGAAGGGAGGAGAGGGCAGGATGTTTCCCCAGCAGCCGTCTGTTTATCCCTCTTCAGCAAATAGGAGGGTGCAACAAGAAAAAAAAGACTTAAAAAAAAATAATAATAATTGACTTTTTCATGAGAAAATGGTGTTTATTAAACCAGTCATTTTTCCAGTGATCACTTTTAACTGCAGTTTATAGACAGCTGGAAAAAATAACATGTTTTAGTTATTACTCATCTTTCCCCCCTACACACACACCTTTACAGTTTATCATAACATAAAAGATAAGAGTATTTTTTTTTTTACTTTTACCTCCGAGCTTCTCCTCCTACTCTGAAGCTCAAATATTTTGTTTTCTGAAAACTTATCAAGCACCTGAAAGCAAACTGCATTTTGCCACTTACTCGGTGGT